GACAAGAAAATTCTTTACAGAAATTGCCAATTTAAAAAGAAAATTGGCGACGAAATGACAAAAACAAGTAATTCATTACCAATTCTCGAATTTTGAACACTCACTCCAAACGGAGTCAGCTACATGGATAGCAGAAAAAAAGCGTTGCTAACCTCGGTTGTGAATTGTCTGCCCTTGAAATAAGCAGAACTGTTCGAATTCAAGTTCAGATAACTATGTGATACCAATCAATCTTTAGCAGTTGTTTCTCAAAGGTGTTTCATTGGCTTATTAATCTACCAAAACCTTATCATAATTATAGTTCGAGAAAATTTTGTCTTTGTAATAATTTTTTCAACGCCTGAACCATTTCTATAGATTGTTGCAATATTCTATCATCATAATTAACTTGCATGTATAATAACAACAGTAAAGTTTTTCAGTACGGTAGTTACAAATAACAAGTTCGGATTTCTATCTTATTTATTTATACAGACCATGATAGCTATCCTTTTTAGAAAATTACGGAGTCTACGCATGCAAATAACAAATCAGTAAGAGAATTAAATTCCTACGCGAAAAGATATAACGAAATAGGCTATTCATCACCGGCATGTTTATCTTAAAATGGCCTGTTCAGATCTTCAATGAGATGTATTATTAGTGGCGGAGTAATACGTCTATAGGAATCATGGAGTATACTTGTATAGTAATATTGATTAGGTAAAGTCAGTTCTATTATTCCCTACGATATATGATAAATATGACGTTGGTTTCCAATACAATTTCAATTAGATTGCATATCAGACTCGGAAGGTAATATTGATTTTGAAAATATTAAAATAATCGCAAATGATCTTGAAGAATAGGACATGTATGCGTATTAATATTACATGACCAAATTCCGTTCATTATTACACAAAAACAGATCAGTTTCAGTATGTAGCAATTAATATGTGTATAGCTACCATGCATTTTAATTTAGAATTAATAGTAAAAACGACCTTTTTATATTCAAATACCTGAAGTTGTTTTTCATGAAAGCGTTTTATAGACGCAATGCGTATGCGTAAACGCTTGACTCATGAATAAGGATAAGGATATTTTTCACATTTAAAGCTAATTCAATTGTTAATTATCATTCATATGAAGTTAAATGACTTTGGCATCGACAGATACTTAGACATCTAAACCAATATCATGTGTGATAAATGCCCTTCCGAAACCAGATGGAGAGTAATGTAATAATAGACACAACGTACAGAAATGACTTTCCTCAATTTAGTTAGACCTAGACTTCTTTCCCGAATAATTGTATGTCTCAGCAAGTGACCTTTCCGCGGGAATATTTCTTCAGATTCTTGAGAAACTAGCAATTTGTATGAAAGAATATAAGTAATATATTATATGTCAGAAGAACTGACAATAGGGGTGATGAAAAAGTTTCCCTCTGTGCTGTAATTCATTTCTGGAGGGAATTAGAACTGGAAAAATGTCGATGAAAATATACCATACAAGAAACATCGTATAGAAATGCAGGCAACCGAAGTGATCTTTAGATACTTTCGACATAAGGAAATGAACAAATAAACTAAAACAAGAACAAAATAAACAACACATATTCATGATGATATTTGATTTGCAAGAGTGCTTAGTCGTCAATAACAACTAGTCATTTTGACTTCCCTAAAAGAACCTTTACGAATATATAAAAATGAATGAACAACAAGTAAACATATGTTGTTTTTATAAAACCATGAACATATTTATGGATCACTTTTATATATATTTGCTACATATTTGTTCCCCGCGGTAACATATCGACTAGTTTTATATTTTGTACCACCTAAGACCGTTTAGCTCTGATTAGAAAATCAATTATCGCCTTATTTGTAAAGGCCTGTTTAAACAACCACTGTTTAAACTTCTGCTATATTTGTGTTGAAATACAATGTATAAATGATCATAACTTTTACAATGTATATTGACTAAGCATGATTCCTACTCGGTGTTCTGATGATTTGAAAGTTTATATCTTTCATAAGCAAAGAAAGTAGGCGAAAGATATTACTAAAAACATTAATTCTATTCCCTCTAGCAACACTTTACATTTTTTTTCTTTTATTGCTGCATTTTTTGTTTCTTATTTTCATGAATAATCTCGTTAATTGCATACATAAACTATAAAACCTTACATTTTATTGCGTGCTGAATTATTCTCAGAGCTGGTTTTCAGCAACCATTGATTACGTTCTCTAAGTATATTTATTAAATGTAGAATATAAATTATGCTTTACTTTGAGTCCACTTATTCTCTGTAACATTCCCATACAAATATCATACATAATTATCTATAATCCTGATAATTAAACATATTTATCTGGTCTGTAATGACAATAATTAGTGTAATGCTCGTTTAAACTTCACGACCTACCTACTTATTATAATTAAATGCTACCAAAGTTGCCCTATCTAATTACATTATATCATTTACGTTATTATTACCTTCTTCGGCAACTTCTCCATGTTCAACATCGTGTTCGTGATCTTGATATTGTTCAGGCTCGTGTGCCAGTTTATGGTCCATTGGTTCTTCATCACCTAGCAGCTCTCCGTGCTCTAAATCCCCTTCTGGCTGGGCTTGCCACTGGCTATCCATATTTTCCATCACAAACTTTTTACAAAACGTTTAAAACTATTTAACTGAACAATTTATAACTACGTTAGAGTCTGCTAGCGATAGTGTATTGTGAACTTTAAATGTTGCAAACCATTTCAGCACCAATGCTTTAAAATCGTGATGTGATCGGCTTTATTCCAATGAGCTGTCAGTGACATTTATAACAAGAGCTTTCCAAATGCTATCAGTGAAATTTATTTCGATTGTAATGCACGTATCATCTAATACATTTCCACAGTCTATTAACTCCTGTACGTTAATGATGACTATTGATAGATATATGAGATCACAAATTACAGATAATGAAATATAAAAAATATCCAAGCCTATTTTAAACTAGGCACCTTTAGATTCCTAAACTACTGTTTACAAACAGAATTAACCTAGAAAGCTAGCTTGTACAATTACATTCCCAGATTTTCCCATTTAACTGAGCACGCAATATATGCCACTGTAAAACAAGAGGAAAAAATTTCGCAGAAAATTTCAGTGCCGCATTTTCCGATACAACCTTCACAAACTGTTAAGCTTTTGGAATAATCTTACAGAAAACTACAAACTTCTATTGAAGCAAACAAAACCAATACAAGCAGAAGAAGATACCAATATTAGAACGCCTTATTGTAAACTTATCCCCTTTTCAAACTATCTTGAACACATATTCACAAAGTACCGAATACTGTACTTTTCATGAGCCTAGTTTTGAGTAGATAGTTCTGTATAAGATGGAAAGATAAGTTGTATGTCTCTCTAGGAATCGATAAAAAACTTCCCGAACCGTATGTAATTACCTTCTGAGAAACTCTGTAATTTTATACGCTACAAGAAAATCTCCCGGATGCGTGCTGGGATATCCTGGTGGTTGGATGATATGCCTTTTAGATAAATAAGACATTGACTGTGTCGGAAACAACACCGTGTTTATGTAAATGAGAACGGGCTGGTACAAATCAAACGGAACACACATCCGTTTGATTACTTTGTTATGAATTTTTAACCCTGCGTGATCGTAAGAGGCAACTAAATGGGTTCGAATTATTGGAGTCTATGCATCTCTTAGCTCCAGCAGGTGAAGTAGTTTGACCCCTTGTGTTGCTTATAGCTTGTAACACCCGAGGTTAGCCAAAATTTTGTCTTTTATGTTTCGGCGCCATATGACCTTAACTGGGTTTGTGCGCCGTACAGCTAATTAAAACAAACAAATACAGTTTATTATGTGTTTCAAGTTGTAAGTATTCTTTTAACTTACATATGATATGATAGTTTAGATTATCAATGTTTCAAATATTGTGCAGAAGTAAATCAGAGTACTTTACTGTATTTTATTTCCTTTCTTGCGTGAACCAAATCGAGAGTTATATACGTGCCCACTGTCAAAGTTCAATATACTTTTCAAGCGAGTACGTCCTATAAAATTTCCCAAATAAAACCATTTCGAACTTTAATTTGCCTTTTTCCCCATCAAAGACGCGACTGACAGTTTTATATAACCATATTGTAGACTATAAAATTGAACAATACACAGCTTTGAAATCATAAAAACAAATTTAATGAGCGTACGGTCTTGTTTGAACAGAAAGATATAAAATGAAAATTGAAAAAATGTGTTAGATATATTACCTGCATCAAAGTAATGAAAAGTTTGAATGAAAGGTTTATTTTCATGTCTGCATGGATCGATTTTGGTTTTTCCTATACTTGTGATTATAGATGTATGGCCGTTAATTAATCATGTACTGCTTATCTTTTATATTATTATTATATTAATAAGTATAATGTTACTATCGATTTAACGCTAGTTATTTCCTGCAGTTAACGCCAGATATGCTTTTGTTTGGTATGAATACGGCTGCGTATTAATCCAGTAATGTAATTAATTGAACGGGCGACTCATATGTGAAATATTCACCGGATGTAGACCCCTGTACACCGTATAAACGTGTTTGTTTGTTGTTGTTTGTTGTGATTTTTTTTGAAATTCCAATTTTCAAAGACCATTACTTATGAAATTTACTTTTTTATCGTCTATATAAAATCTATATTTACTTTACTTATCTCATCCGATTAATATACATGTGTATTTATTCCTTCTTTATATTAAAACACGGTATAAAACTTTTACTACTGACATAAAAGATTTATTATTCTTATACTTACTCTTTTATTAATCCTAAAACATTAAATATAATATTTCATTTGAAAATCTATTTCATAAATTTTATTAAGTTATTTTACTCAAGTTGGAATAATAGAAGCTACATAAACTCGATATAAATCGATAAGTTTGCACTATATATGTTTTATCATTCCCTCTTACAGGACAGAACATGCAAAGACTTACTTTCTGAGCCACTGTCTTCAAATAAGAGTTGTCCCCCTTCCCCTCTGTTATGTCCATTTGCCTCCCTTACTTGCCAAACTGTTTCCATTTTTAAGGCACTTTTAACACTTAAATGTGGTTAGATATTTATATACTATTCAACGAAAGTTGCTTTATTTAATTGTTTCCAATATGAAAGATAGAAATGAAGTAAACTGTTAATAAACTTCACATTTAACCTCCCATTCCATCTAAGATGTTTTTCTTCTGCGTGATTCCAAAATAATCTATAAACTAAACTTTAGAAATAACATAATTGTCAACATCTCTGTGGTGGTACACAAATGTCATTATTTAAAACTGTAGATAATCGTTAGCCAAACTGATGAATAATAAAATGTGAAAACCATGCACAAAATATAAGAAGGCGTTTGTTTCTTATCACTGCACGAAATCACTTCACAAAAGTCTTTGTTTCTGTTAATCTCACATAATGTAAACACAAGATAAAGTTAGCAACTTTCTAATTGTATAGTATATCCCTTCTCAAAAAAGCACATCTCCCGTGGTAGAAAATAACAAAATTTAATTGAAATATTCTCTTTTTCCGCTTTCGTTCGTTTGATATTAAGATAATGTGTTAAAATGCAGATGACTTTAACGCTAATTCAAACCAGATTATACACTGCACTGAACATTCTGCATGACAAGTATCATAAATGATGGATACATTAGTCTAATAGATGACATTTAAGTATATATATAAAAAAATAACACAGACGTATATTCATAAAGCAGACACGGCAATAAAAGTGTTTGACATTTTCAAAAACGGATCTCTTCTTGATATTTCATTTATTATAAATTGCATTTTACGATGTGCAATAGAATATATTGATGAAGTGTTTGTCTCATCAGTACAAAAAAAAAACGTTTGATATCTTAACAAATGCACGTATCGTAAATTGATAAGACTTTTCAACATGTGATCAAAATTTTATCATTATTATAGTCGATTTGTTTATGTAAACAACGTGTAAGAATTAACAAAAACTTTAAAAGATACTGGTAATAAAGTTCAATCTAAAAACAAAAACTATTGAATTTTCTCATATATCATGTGACGAATCTTACGTTATATCATACATGTATATAGTAAGATTCATCTAACTTAAGTGACTACTGTACGAAGTTGTAAATTTTAATTTGATCTGTTTAAGAACAGAAATCTGATGAACTCATTATTTGAAAAAACAACGAGCACGTGCGCGTCACATCAAGTATGACTGAATGAAGAGAGTGCATGCTGTAATTATTCCGGGGCGTTTCGCTTTTAAATGTAATTGCCTTGAAATACAATGATGAAAAGCTGGCATGAATTGTCGTAAATTTAAGATAAACACGATTATTCCTGTCACTTTTTAGAATTCACAATCACTTTAATCACACACATAATATTCACCATATTTTATTAGCCATAATTTACTTGAAAACCAGTTTGTTTTTCCAAGGTCGATCAAATTAACTTTTTATCCGGAGTTATCAACAAAATAACAACTCAAACGAGGAAATATGTCGTACTTTTATCTTTCGCAAATGACTGTAAACTTTACTACGACAGTGTCAGATACTTGTGTTCATTTCCGGCGTCATAAGAGATAATATATTTTTGCATAAGAGAGTGAGGCTATTTTCGGCGCTAAAGGGATTTTCTTAAGTAGATGTGTATAAAAGTTAAAGCCTAACCATTTGTTATCAAATTGCACAATATTACGAAGTTTATTTCATAAAGTAGTAACTGCAAAGTGCTTTTTTATTGATATGTTTCAATTTTATAATTCGTGTGTGAAATCATGTTGCATATATCTTTTGGTATTTGTAATCTTTTCCTTGGATGCTCTAACCCTGTAATACATGTTTTATCAGTGCATCTCAATTATCGACGCATTCCGATAATTTTGTTATGTGCGAACAAAATTCACCATTTAAACTCTACAAAACAAATTCAGTTAAATAGTTGGGAATAACGAAGAACCAACTACCACCTAGTAGGTAGTTGGTTATTCGAATATCCAACTTCCAACTAAAAATTACCCTACTAAATTGACGCTCATAAAAAGTTTAGTACGTCTATAATAAGGGTTCCATGCTAAAATCTCTTGTAAAAAGACTAAAAGACTATTGCTATTGCTACAGGGTTGAGATAAAAATAAACATTAAAGCAAATGATTGGCTTCTCTGATAACGCTTTTATTATTATGATTTATAACAAAATGGTAATTTTCCTTCAACCTTTTTTGTTTGATCATTCTTTGTTCTATGTAAACATTTGAGAGAATTGTTCCCTGAAATCAATCCAATAGCTATTTGTAATGATCAATTATTAAACGAGACCTATTATTACTAGGGCTCTTAAATCACTAGAATAAATATTGACCTAAATTTGACTTGAAGGTTAATTGCTCATTGTGTCTAATAGTAATAATAAACTCAATTTAAATATTCTGGAATTTATTCAGTTTATGCATTGCGATGCTCAGGTTATCAACGGTAACCCGGCTGTTTAAATAAAACTCAACACTCACAGTGCCTCTAGAGACGCTTGCAAAAAAGACAAATGAGCCGCGTCACGACAACATAGTGCGTTTGCGACCAGCATGGATCTAGACCAGCCTGCGCATCTGCGCAGTCTGATCAGGATCCATGCTGTTCGCTTACCAACTCTATTACAAGTAGAGAAACTGATAGCGAACAGCATGGATCCTGATCAGACTACGCGGATGCAACCCCATTATGTTGGTTTTGTCGTGTCGCGGCTCAAATATCACTTTTTTCGGCGATTCTCACATTTTTTTTCATTCATGATCGTATATAAATCGATTTGAAAAAATAGAATAATTAGACTTCTTACAGCACATTTCGGCAGGTGAAGACCAAGATTTTAGCATTAAAACTTTTAAAATCATTCAAACGACTTGTCGGAATACGATATTTAGTGTGGTGCTTCAACACTCGTTTTCTTTATGATATAAAACACATACGTATACATCGCCTATGAAACTAAATGTCTTAGTTTAAAGAATATTGCACCCTCCTCAGCCGTTAATTTTCAATTATTATGCGGAACAATAAAAAATGGAGAATTAGAAAAAAATAAAAGCAAGCATGTCATGTTATGCAATACCAAGTGTTAGTATGGTTCTGTTAATGTGAACATTAAGCCTATTTTTAATGTAAAAAGCAAAGCTACTTTTATATTTAATCTACCTGAAATAGATATACTGGTATCGAAGCAGTTTCCGATAAAAATATGAGGTTATTTAAAATTTTCCCAAATACCACGTCTCCAATTTAAATAAACTTTTGATATGACTAAGTACAGGTCACGCTTTGTTATTGTAAATAAAAACCGGATTCCTAAAGTACGCATGCGCATTACAAAAGGGGCTCCAACGGGAGGTGTAAATTAGCCTTAATTGACGCGCTAAAGAAGCAGTTTCCGACACATTTTTTTAATCGTTTATTTTGCGGGTTTTTAAATCGGTATCGATATTTATTTTATTATAAGACTTTTTAAAGACCTATTTAGGCAAATAGTATTATTTTATATAGGGGTTTAATATGAAATATTCAGAAATTCTGATGAGATTAAATATTACATATGCAGTGATTTTTTGCCGAAAATATCATTACGTATTACAGTGAACTCGACAGTTCCGGGTCGTCGACAATTCCGGGTCACATTCAGAAAAATATGTTTATTATTTGGAAATTATTTAGTATTTCATTAATTTTATAATGTGTGATGAGAAAATTTAAATACGGATACATGTATACATAAGAAAAAAAATACTTGTTATTCATTTTCACTCATGGTCATTGAAACAAGACTAACTACTTTCCACGGCCGTATTTTGTATGTTAGTACCCAGAGTGTAACTTTATTGTATTCATGAATAACACATTAATTTACAAGTACGAAATATCTATCTAAATAAATTCTTTCTGCATAAATGTTATCTGCAACACATATAAAAAGAAAAAAATTCAATTTGTAACAGAACATGAATAAAAATATCCAACATACTTTAAGCATAAACTTGCCGTTTTATATTAAACAAGTGAAATAAAGTTTATCATTTTGTTCTCAGTTCTTCATATATTGTGTTTATCATTCTTCCTCATAGAAACGTGGGAAGCAGGCTTTGCAGTACCACTGCACATCATCTTCATCCAAACTCTCTCTCAGAAGTTTCTTCTCGCTCTCACTCAAACATTCGAAATGATACCAACCAGTTTTAACACACAAATCATTATCACATCCATACCACTCAACACCATTTTGCTCATCAAACACTCTTCCTCTAACACCACACACACCACACGTATACTTCCTATCAGCTAACTTTCCAAATTTCTCCTTCCTCTCTCTTTCTCTTAACTTCTCTTGCTCCCTTTCATTTTTCTCAGTCTCTCTTTTCTGTTTCTTTGCTGCTTTCAGCTCATCTTCAGCTATCTTCTGTTTGCGCTTCATCTCCCTATCTTCTTCTCTCTGCTTCTTCTCTTCCAGTCTTTTCACTTCTGCATCTTCACGTTCCTGCAATTATTGGAAATTCGAAAAGTCAAACTAATTACATTTTCATTTTAAAACTAAAATTTGTGGGTCTTAAATTTATAATAATATAAAAAATCATGTGATTTAAACAACATAATTATAATACACTGTTATAAAAGATGACTGGAATTTAACAAAATTCTACACACCATTTACTATAAATCTGTATTGGTAAATATAATATTTGATTTAAAAATTATACCTTTAATATTTCAAGCATTTCATCTCCAGATAGAACTCGAGCACTTGTCACAGCCTTGCTGGGTCTCTTCTTTTGAGGCATTGGTTTTGCAGGTGGTGGTACCAATATATCGGCCAAAGAGGCAGGAACCACACCTCTTTTCACCAGTGGGTTTTGTCCAATAAACTGCCCACATGTCTCACATGTAATGGTAGGATTATCTCCTCGTTCTTCCACAGGGAAAGACGGGGGTACCAGCTGACTGGTGTCAATTGCATCTGGATTGACTGGCATTATACCAGCCAATCTAAATGCATCCTTAACAGTGCTGGGGGCTGTCTGGTCTATGGCATAGCTTAATAGTACAGGCAAACGTGACTTGCCGATGCTACAGCCAGGACGTGAAAAGCTGACGCTTGACGCAAGCCTTGATACCTTGTCTTTCAAAGGCCCTATAACTTTCACATCCAAAGGCTGTAGATAATGTGTGGTATGAGACGGCAGTCCTACAAGTACCACATTCTCTTTCCTAGCAGCCTCCACAAGTGGTAATGATATGTGAGACTCGTGGTTATCCATCAACAGAATCACTGGACGGTCTTTACCACAATTGGGCACGAATGCTTTCACAAACCACTGAAGAAATAGTTCCGTATCCATATACCCACTATCAGAGGAACTAAAAAGCCATGAACCTGAAGGAAAATGCGTGAAAAATATTTAATATAATGTAGGTGTAAAATCAATTAACAAAAATAAGTTACTTATCTTTTTTTATAAATGGCTTTTATGATTTTTTTACGTGAACACGAAACATTGTATGTCATGAGCTTAATATTAAGAGGATAAAAAACACTCCGTCGATACATCTGGTCAGAGCTGCATTACTGGTACTGGTACTGGTACTGCAGTACGTACTGCAGCGATTTTGCAAGTACTGGTACTGATACTGAATTACTCTTACAAAATTTTGCTACTACTGGTACTGGTACTGCATTACTGTCTTAAAAAGTGGTACTGCTACTGCATTACCCAGTACTTTTGGTTTTGATAAAAATTAAAAATAACATCAATTTTTCTCATAAAATAAAGCTGTAAAATACATTAACTATATTTTATTTTTGTGAAAAAGTAAGTTATCAAGTCTAAAGATAATTTGTTGCAATATTCCTTCAATTCATCATAAAAAGCACCAAAGACTTTAAGTAAAAATTAAATTAAGATAAACAGACTCAATAACTCTTTACCCTAAAATATCCTTATTAAAATTTTTTATTACTTTGTATTTACTAGTAAAAGAGCAAAATAAACACTAATTAAATTTCTTTTATTCTAAAAAAATCCCATTTCAAGTGAAAAAAGTGATATTGTTAGCACCATAAAAAGTTGTTAATTATTTTGGTTTAAATTGAACAGAGGTGTGAAGGTGTGAAAGGCAACAAAAGACTGTTGTGTTTTAAATGAAAGATGTTTCCATTGTATTTATACAGTTGACTGGTTACTAAACAATTAGATATGACATGAATATATGTTGTAAATATTGTTTGTAAAAAGTATGTTAAAACTATAAAGTTGTAAATATGTTATGTTAACTTTAAAGCAGCACGCCTCCAGATTTATCCTAATTTTCATGAATATTTTGAAAATGTATTTAAAGGCAAAATATTGTTAAATGAACAAAGAAAGTACTTGACACATTACAATCGGCACTTAAAATCCACGTAAATTACCAAAAAAAGGTCAAAACATGCATAAATAGCCCCTACTGCGTTAGTAACCCAGTAGAAATATGGTGATAAATACTACAAAATACAGTCATTAATTGCACATAAGATATAATTTATCACTTGAATCTTTAATTTGTTTACTTTTCTCAAAGTTTTAGTAATTTTTTTCCAAGTTTAATTTTCTTGAAATATTTTGGGTCATCTGGAGGCATGCAGCTTTAAAGTAAATAATGATTTTATTTCTTTGCTGAATAATATTTGCTATTATTTGTTTGACACTGTATTTATTCAAACTTTGATGAATATATAAAAGTAATGGTACTGATACTTAATTACTTCACCAAAAAAAGTACTGGTACTGCAGTACCGAGCTTAAATCTAGTACTGGTACTGGTAATGGTACTGCATAATTTGCCAAGTACTGGTACTGGTACTTAAGTACTACACCCTTAGTACTGATGCAGCTCTGCATCTGGTAACACATTAGTATATTATATTGTGTATTAAAATGAGTGCAAGTACAATGTAGATATTTTAAGATATATATTGTTAAAGATATTTTTACCTGGTAGACCATCTTTGTAGTTCCGGTGCGGGAAACCACCTTTAAATATGACCATGGTAGGTATAAAACTCCCATCGGCTGACACACACAAATGGGCAGTTACATGGTCATTTGTCATGTTATTCTGTTGAAATACATGACCAGACTTTGGCCCTATAACCCTCTCTCTTGCACACTCTTTTCCCGACCACCCCGTCTCATCACAGTTGTACACCTTAAATAAATATTGTTTTACAATAACAACGATAAACGTGATTGCAGTACGTTGATTTAAATCCGCTAAGTCTCTTAAATACTTCTTTGCAATATATTAAGTTTAGTCGGTATTATTTTAATATTTTAATTAAATAAGCTGCCCAAAACGGATATAGAATAGTCGGCAAAAGCTGAAGAAACAAAAATTTCTTTGTAAACGGATCTAATTAAAAGAAAACGCATACTAGAGCTGAATATATACTTTTTTTATTTAAAAATATTTACGTCTACACTTTGTTAAAACTTTACTCGGATTTGCCGTCCAGTGCATACGATTTACAAAGGGTATCTTTATAAAGAATATTCTGTTTGAAAAGTAAGTATTGCTATCTCTCAACACACCTGGGATGGTTTGTCCATGACGTTATGCTTTTCCAACATATCTGACCAAAATTTGAAAAAATCACTAGCAACCGTCTTATTGGACATCCTGTTTCTGCCTCTGTCCCGGCTCTCCGGCTTCCGAAACGCAAGCTGCGGATAATCAGCAATCAGTTTCCTGAACCACTCGTCACTTGGACCTTTACTCAAGTTGAAGAGCGAACTGCGTCCTGTAATGAAACATTAAAAAACGTTACTTTTGACTATATGGCTATATCTCGGATTTTCATAAAGAAAATTATGTTATGTTTATATTAAGATTTCATTAGTCCTTATAATTATATACATATATATTTCATTGAAATGATAATTTGATTTGATATGTGTGAGACACTATAACAACTGATATTGTTATGAGAAAAAAGAGTTATTTTGATCATTCTAATGGGGACATATTTAGTTCCACCTGAATGTAGGAATATGTTAATGTTCAAACAACTAGGTTTGAAATTACATACCTGAACGTTTCACAATTTCCTGAACATAGCATCTCACCATCCTTCTTGTAAGAGGAAACCCCTGTCCAGCCATGTACAATACAAAATTTACCAATCCATCCGTCTCCTCTTTTGTCAGTTGCTTTTCTGGGCCCTTTTTCGTCCTAACATCCGGATTTTTCACGTGGTCATGCACGGTTGTTCTTGGCACATTAAATTCTCGTGCAGCCTTAGATATTGATAATTGTTTTCTTTTAACAGCCGACACGGCTTGCATAAGATCGTCATCATTGTATTTTTTTGGCATCTATAAAAAAAGAATAAATGACTTTTTAACATATAGTGAGTAAAATCGGCATGACAAATATTAAAGATCAAATTCAAATTGATTCCGTTTTTATTTTATAATTTATTTTTGTTAATCATCCTAAACACCCCATATGGTGCCCCAGAATAAAAATAACCTTCTTTACGGGAAACAACCTACTGTTCACAAGTACAGACTATGATATACAGAGTTGCCTCCCTTGGTTAGAAAAATTGAGCAGCGGTTTTCCTATTTTATGCCTTTTTCGCTTTTATTTTTCAGATCTGTTGGTCAAAAACGACGAAAATACAAAGTCTTAGTTTATATTGATTGATTATTATGGATTTTAATGATTTTTGGCGACTTTTGAAAAGTCGTCTGTTTTTCGCCGGTAAAGGGGGAAAACTTGTCTTAATTAGGGCCTAATAGAGTTATCCTTTGCGCATGCGCATTAGTAGCACGTGAAATCCCCCATGCGAAAAATGTAAACACACCTGGTTGTAAAATCTAAAGGTAAGAACGAATATATCTAATGTTTACCTCTGATAGTAGAAATTCAGTCGAGCGTTTCCTTTGATGATAGCGTTCTGAAAAAAGCCGTACCTTCAATTTTGAAGAGTTGCGATAAACGAAAATAACCGTATTGTCGACTAGCCGACGGATACTGCTTCGATACCAGTAATGCACTTTAAATTTTTACGATGCATTTGTTATTTTGATAACAAGAATTTTTTTATTTTAGTAACGGTGTAAGCCTTTGCATCATGCAAACGTAATGCTTTTGTAAACTCATATAGTTATCATGAATTGATATCTTCAACATCTAGCTCTTGTATTGATTACAATTTCTAATTAACAGCCGAGAAAAAATTGTTTCTCTTATACGTATTTTATTGCTAAACCTTTCGTGAACTTTATGGCTTCTAAGATGGTATATGTTCTAGCAGAAACAACTATATACAGATACTACATAGATTATGAGCACATATGTTACCTTCTGGTAATCTGCAGGCTATCTGAATATCTAATAAAAATATTCTTACAGGCAGGTGCGTGATTCATATTTTAATAATTTTATAGCTATACGAGTATTTATTCATTTGAATTGATCTCAATGCATGGTTCTACTGTAAATTATAAGGACTAAGTTTTACCGACACCAGATCAAATTACTCTACGTAGTCTAAAATGACTATATGTCTATTGAATTATGTTTTTGATATAGCTCGCTCCAGAAGTTCCTGCTATGTGAACGCTGGGTACAGAGTCTGCAGTTGAAGTATAACCATGGTGATATTATGAATACAAATACGAAGATTTATCTTGAATCATTTATACAAACTTTGAGCTTATATTAATTTGACTTTTGAGATTAAAATTATTATAGGCACACATTTGATTGAGTTTTACGTCGTAGCAACACAGTGCTTTTCGACTTTCCAGTGAAGACCCCAGGTGTCCTTCCTTGCATTAGTTCAGTCAGAAACTGGCACCTGACTAGAACCACTGACGCGACGTAAATATTAGGATAGCTTCCTCACAAAAAATAGCTCAAAGTCCCTGTAGGGATAGACTCAAATGGTAATTATAATACATTATACAACCAAAGGAACTGTTATAACACAATGAACAAATGAAAATCATATTTTGACTAAAGGAAATTTCACAAAACTATTCACTACACAAATGTCTTAAACTATACACTTTAAGAAATTGTGTCACGTCTGCTGAACAAGGTTAAAATGAAATCTGTGCACTAGTACAATATATCAGCCATAGCACATTTGCACTGTCTGTTCAGAAATTACAGACTTCATTGGCAGACCAATTGGAATGAAATTCCAAGAAAATTGAAAATTGATATAAATCAAAATGTATTTGTCTTCTCATCATTATATCAACATTATATAGAATCAGGGGAACAACAATTACGTAATTTCAATTTTAATTTCCCACAAGGCGCGTGCACGCATGCGCAATGAAGCGTTGCGTTCTGGAGCCTGATACTAAATATAGAATCTAGGGGAGATTTGGGAACCCGGTTTTCCCATTTTTTTGAATTGAAAAAACTATATAGTTTTTGTTAAAATTTAAAATTTCTCTATTCATTCCAGCTGGCTCAATCGATTTACGCAGTGAAAGCGTGTCAAGTAGAAATAGCTGCCACTGAAAGAATATATTTCCACGTGATTTGCAGAGCAAATTAAATCTCTGAATAATTTATTTGCCCGGGAAGTATTGCCACAGCAATTTTGTCATTAGGTGTTGTTTCATCTGTCAAATTGTTTTTAAAGATAACATTTATGTCTTTTGCCGCTTCTAATGTAACACATCGTTATCGCAATATTGTATTTATATGTGACAAGAACATTTATCATTCGATTTTCGATCCATTCAAAGCTTTTAGAAAATTACAATTTCTAAAATAAAAAGAAAAGAAAAAATGGATACTTTAGATAGATGATACTAAATCAAAAGTGGTATACCACATAACTTTTTTTTCAATTTTCAAATACAATGACAATTTGTTTGAGCACCACTTTACTATTTTTCTTTAACTCATCCGTGCGAAACATTTACATAACTGACCTTTATCTAATTTATCCTTAACATTAATAATGAACCAAATACTTAAAATAGCTACACAGTTACATAATGAAATATATTGAAGCAAGACTTTATCTGGTATTAAAACACGCCTACTTGAGCTTGTTCAAGTATTCATCTTGGACTTTTAATAGCTTTATAATTTGAATTTGATCACACTTCTAGACTTGTGTGTTTAAGAAATCAATGCCCTAGGCTTACTACTCCTAAATCTTCCCTCTAATTGAGACATTCTGGAAAGATTTATGAGCATTTTAGCACGTTTTAAGGATTCTTAGAAATTAAACAAGACTGCGTAAAATAGAAGCATTTGATGTGTCTGCAACGAAGAGTTTAGACACTGAATAAGATCCAATGGTTTTGTTGCACGAAATTTAATTTCTAGGTTATTGAAAGCTCATCTGTTTTTATACTCTAAATAAATCAGTCATGCGTGTTTACATATTTAAAAAAATACCTAATAATTATAAAATATAAGATATAATTAATAAACAATACGCAACTAATAGGGTTATGTTGTATTTAAATTTTAATATGTTTATTTTCATGAAGCGACGTACCAGTCGCATTTTACTAAGTACGAATAGTTCGAAGTTGGCCGACTTTGATTCACAAGTTATAACACAGTCACGCTAAACTAAACTAAACTAAACTAAGAACTAAAAACTAAACTAAACATTCACTATTTATAGAAACATAATTTCTGTAAACTTGTACTTTCAATCAATAAATGCTAAGTTACGTAATAAAGTACATGCAATACACAAAGGGTGGTAATGCGAGTTTCTGTATTAATTATACGCAATTCGAGCTAGATAATAAAATAGACCGCATCGTTTATTCTTGCTTTGCTCACTATTATCAGAAAAGCTCCAAAATCAATAAAAAAAAAACCCGCTCCAGTATCATAGACTGAGAAGATAATCGTTAAACAAACGAGTAAATATAATCTGTAATCTTGTAATCTGTTTGTACGTCTATCAAAGTTCTCTCAACCACCATTCTTACTGACAAGTTCCAGATATGACAACATGTAAACAACATTAGACGTTTCTGACATATCATCGGGAGAAAAACGTATATATATCACAATGGCGCTCTGTTCTTGGAGAAACAGTACACACTAATATAATAAACAAAGTGTAATTTGTATGGTATTGTTCCAGCTTTTAAAATAATAGATGTCTTGTAGAGTAAGAGATAGGTCTGAAGGTGACCTTGAAATCCTGTAAGTCTTGAATAATGTATGACTATTTTTCTTTATGCACAAATGTGCCAAATTGCTTAGATACATCAAAGCATATCATCATTTATAATACTGCACGTTTGTAGCGTCGCTTTTCATTGGATTATATAGTTATAATTATAATTCTACACGGCGGCTGTCAATTTTTAAAGAAATCTCTTTTTTTTTCTAAAAAAGGGAAGTTTGATGTATTATAAATTCGTTATAAAACTTTCTGACAGGTTATATGACCGTATATAAAACGGTTTGTTTGTTGCAATACATGTATAATATATTTTGGTCGTCATATAACTTGTGTTAGAATATTTATAACTAATATTTTTTTATCGAACACTATCAGATTGAATGTATTTGTAGCATTTTATTTATCTTTTTACAAATGCAATTGTTAACAAAAACTTCTGATTTGTTCACACATGGCAACATCTTCACAGGTTTTTCTGTTATTGCAGTTCGAAAGGTGATCTAATACCATTGCTCTCTTTGCACTCATTATGACTGTTTAGATCCACTTCTACTCTTTTCATGACCTCATATATTTCTAATTACATTCTCTTTCTCAAAGTATCATTCTAAACTAATCTATGGAATCTTATATACCTCCATATAAATCAGAACTGCTATACATGCAATTATAACAGTTACTGTTAATTAACTTTGAAGAAAGAAAAAAAGAAATTAAAACAAAATCAATTTTCTCGAGGTGTTTTAACCAAGATCAGTAGCACTTGTTGCAGAAACACTGGGTTATTGATTACTCCTAGACGCATTAATTAGTTACTCTACTATCTAGGTTAATCGATAACTGATTGCTTTTCCAGGCATGCATGTTACCTGATTTGTGTTGATTAGGTATCAACTGTAATTATGTCAGGATAGGTTGATGCAGAGAAATTATTATTGCTAATAAACGCACAGTAAGTCTATGTGCATCTTAGTAAATGCATGTTTCGACTGTATAAACACATAGTCGTGTTAAAATGTGTATAGAAATTGCGTAACATCGTGCAAATAGTGTTAGCTTATATTTTATTTCGTTTGTTTTCTGTTGTTTGTTTTATAATCATTATTTTCTTTTCATTCGATTGATCATTTTAAACTATTTAAAACGTCACATATATATGTGCAAAATACGCTATATCAATGCCTGTGAATTGGAGGTACTCTCTGTAAACAAATGTAATTTTGTTTTCGTCAAACTGTTATTCTTTACCGATGTACATAGGGACATTAATTGTAAAAATATGAAAATATCCCTGACGGAGTTCTTCCCCTTTGAATTATATGAAGGTCTTAGCCAATTTAATTCACGTCCATTATTATATTTTATGAATTATACATATTAAGCATTACTAGCAATTAAAATGTTTTTTTTTCTTTCTTAAATACAAAGAATTAAAACTGGACGCAAGCATTTCACCTCTGATATTTATATCAACATTTCAGCATTAAAATTAGATAAACTTATTATTTCGGCCAGATGGATAACATCTTTTCATTAGATAAATATGTACCGCAAAACAGAAAACAAAAGGGTATTCTTATAAAATTCAAATTTAAAACGTAACAAAATTCAATGGGTTTTTTGAAAAAATAAAATGGGCTTTGTCTTCTTTCTCCCGAATTATTTCAGACATTTAAAAATTTTTAAAAATCTTTGGGGTCACTTTTTGTCAGTAAAACTTTTTTTCCCTTTTTCCTGTTTTTTAAAATTTTGAAAGCTTTTTAAAATTTTGAAATGAGG